AATTGTTAATGACCTTAATTAAATGTATAAAAACAATTCTTACTATTCAAGATTAATTTTATGTCATTGAACACTTAAAAGAGGTTCCTCCAGTTTAAAAAGTTAGTACACTGTCAATTTGGGAAGTATACACATGCAAGCAAGAAACTTTTTTGATCTGTGATGCTCTTGGTGTCTGACTCACCAATTATAATCGTTTTCAATCAGATCTATCTATCCATCCACACTTTTAAAATTTTGAGACAGAGTCTTGCTGAGTTACTTAGGCTGCCCTCAAATTTCTTGTCCTACTGCTGGTAGCTGGGTAGCTGGGATCAGAGGTGTGCACCACTGTGTCCCAGCCTAAAGATTGTATTTAATACATAAATACTTCTATTTGTATTTTTAATTTTCCTGTAGTGAATGTAAGTCTTTGGTAACATATTCATTCAACATTAGCCTATAAATGATCCGCCTTGTCTCGAATGTGAAAAGGATTGAAGCCCACTTCAACTGGCAACATTAAAAAGCCTTAAAAGGCACAAATTCTGTATTCTGGTCATGTTATGTCTTTTGTGATCACATCTCTTAGGGCACCTCTTAACACCTCTCTGAAATTTCCTTGTCTCCAGATAGGATCAATAACTGCCCTGATGTATGTACTTCCTGTGAGTTTCAGAGATACAATGAGTAGCCTTATGGTTTATAAAGAATATTAAAGTGATAAACACTTCTGTTTTACATTAAGAATGTACTCGTTGCTGGGCACGGTGGCACAAGCCTGTAATCCCAGTGGCTCTGGAGGTTGGGGCAGGAGGATTGAGAGTTCAAAGCCAGCCTCAGTAAAAGCAAGGTGCTAAGCAACTCAGTGAGACCTTGTCTCTAAATAAAATACAAAATAGGGCTGGGGATGTGACTCAATGGTTGCGTGCCCCTGAATTTAATCCCCAATACCAAAAAAAAAGTACTCATATCCAATGCTGTGTAAAGTGATCCATTACAAGGCACTTGGAATTTCTCCTGGTCTGGAATATGTACTTTTGTTCTGAAAATGAAAGATTTCAGATATTATTCTTATTAATTCATATGCATTAAATCAATATGCTTGAGCATGTTCTGTATCTTCCCCCATCCCAGGACCTGGCCATGCACTCATTGAACAGTGGAATCCTGTAGGTCTGGTTGGAATCATCACTGCATTCAATTTCCCTGTGGCAGTGTATGGCTGGAATAATGCCATTGCAATGAT